GGTAACACTTTATTTCGATAGTCCACTTTAGACATTTTACTAACAGTAAGTAACTTTGCAACTACATGTCAACTAGCAGTCATTAGAGTATTAGTAGACTGTCTGCTCAATATCTTCTAACACTTTATTTTGATGGGTCCACAACATACAACTTACTGACTATGTCAACTTATTCTACTAAACCTAACCTGACCTAACAGTCTACTCTGAGAGTTAGTTGACATGTAGTTGCAAAGTTACTTACTGTTAGTAGACTGTCTAAAGTGGACTATCTAAATAAAGTGTAACCAATATTCTTATAGTAATTTGTATAAAATGTTCATTTAACTTTAATATTGGATATACATTCTCATAACGTTGAGAGAAAAATGTTCTTAATACAACAAAATGTCCTTTTGGTGTTATTTGTACTTGATTAACATTCTAAGAAACGTTTTTGTAACCTTTAAATAACGTTATAATCATGACAAGAAAACTGGACATTTCAAAACAATATTCCCACATTATTTTTATAGCCTAAATGACCTGGGTTCGATCTTGTTCATATAGTTGATCTCAGCTTTATTGACTTGGTTGTTTGCAGTCACAGTTTTTCTATGTGTATAATAGACAGTCATGGTGAATTAAATGTGTTTTTAAAATGCTTTTCTTACAGAAACTGAAGAACCAGATTGAAAACGTCATGGCAGACATTCAGGATTTCAAATCAGCAGAAGACACGTGAGTGAATGGACTTGTCTCATGATCAGAGAGAATACGCTGCATGACCAACATTTGGATGCTTTCTGTAATTCAGATGCAGAGAAACACTATCAACATCATTCACTAACTAACACAACACTGACTGCCTTCATCTCGTCATACTGACTTACACCGCTACTGAGTTATTTTACTATTATTTATATACTACTATAGATTTTATTCATATTTTTATATTTATATTTTCAATTTTTATTTTAATGTTAGTTGCACTTTGTTGTTTTTTGTTTTGTTTTATTTTATATTATTATTATTTTTAAATATTACTATTTAGGGTAATTTATGCTTTTGTTTAAATTTGAGTTTTTATTTATTTCCAGTTAGTATTTTTTTTCTTTATTTCAGTTAGCTGTCAAGGTTCAAATTTTTGTTTAGTTTTTCATCTAATATTTATATATTACTTCAGTTAACAGAAATGTTTCTAATAGTTTTAGTCAGTTAATTCATTAGTCTGTCAGATGTTCTGGTTGTGAAGTTGTTTTGCGTGACTCTTTCACAGTAAGATGCTGGAGAGGGAGAAACGCTTCTGTAGTGGTAAGAAGAAATTCAACATGGATCCTAAAAAGGTGAGATCTCATTCAGCCTCAAACTGCAGTAGTGTTGTTCAGGTCTGTGT